CACACTGAATTAGGACCCCTGTGGCCATGTGATCGCTTAACAGAGCGATCACATGGTCACAATAGGTGTCCATAGTGCTGCCTGCAGGGGGACTGTCTGTGCTGACAGGCAGTCTCCCTGCTAGTGTAAAATCTAAAAATAAAATAAAGTTAATGTTAATAAAAAAAATAATAATAATTATATAGGTGTATATATGATATATAGACATATATTATATCTATATAATATATGTCTATATATCATATATATAATGCCATACTAAGTGTATTTTTATATTAATATGTACTTATATTAATATAAAAATACACTTAGAATTAAATTACACACGTATATATATAATATATATAATAACTATATATATTGTATATATATATTATTATAAAATATAAATAATAAGTAATTTAAATTAAATAATTTTTTAAATAATAATAAAAAATTTTAAAAAAATTATATATCTATATGAAATTTTATTCTAACTGTATTTTAAAATTAATATATATATATTTATATCAAAATACACTTAGAATGAATTTGTATATATATATCTATGTATATATAAATAAATAAAAATACGAAATATACATATGTCCATATACAAAATTACATAAATAATTATATAAATATACACGTAGACTTAAACTATATAAATATGCATATATATTTAAATTCTACGTGCGTATTTATGTAATATTTTTACATAATTCAGTAATTTTATTGATTGCAATTTGAGGGACCTGCCTGCCAACCCAGGCCGAAAGTCCAGAGAATTTAATTTGTTAGCACTGTATTTTACCCTGTAACGTTCTAGGACACCCTAAAACCTGTACATGGGGGGTACTGTTTTACTCAGGAGACTTCGCTGAACACAAATATTAGTGATTCAAAACAGTAAAACATATCACAGCGATGATATTGTCAGTGAAAGTGACTTTTTTTGCATTTTCACACACAAACAACACTTTTACTGATGATATAATTGTTGTGATACGTTTTCCAGTTTTTAAACACTAATATTTGTGTTCAGCGATGTCTCCCGAGTAAAACAGTACCCCCCATGTACAGGTTTTATAGCATTTTGAAAGTTACAAGGTCAAATATATGGGTCAAATATTTTTACATTGAAAATGGCCAGGTTGGTTACGTTGCCTTTGAGAGCGTATGGTAGCCCAGGAATGAGAATTACCCCATGATGGCATACCATTTGCAAAAGAAGACAACCCAAGGTATTGCAAATGGGGTATGTCCAGTCTTTTTTAGTAACCACTTGGTCACAAACACTGGCCAAAATTAGCGTTCAATTTAGTTTTTTTACTTTTTCACACACAAACAAATATGAATGCTTACTTTGGCCAGTGTTTTCGACTAAGTGGCTACTAAAAAAGACTGGACATACCCCATATTGAATACCCTGTGTTGTCTACTTTAAAAAAAATATGTACATGTGGGGTGTTATTCAGAGATTTATGACAGATAATAGTGTTACAATGTCACTATTGATAAATTTTAAAAATTTATGTTTTGAAACCGCAATATCCTACTTGTACCTATAGCCCTATAACATGCAAAAAAAAGCAAAAAATTTTTAAACTCAGGACAAAATTTTGAATCTATTTAGCTGTTTTTTTCATTTGCTTTTGTAGATGAGTAAAAGATTTTTCAAGTAAAAGTCAAAAAACATGTATTTTTTTCAATTTTTTATCATATTTTTTTATTTTTTTTAAATTAAAATACATGAGATTATATAAATAATGGTATGTAAAGAAAGCCCATTTTGTCCTGAAAAAAACAATATATAATTTGTATGGGAACAGTAAATGAGAGAGTGGAAAATTACAGCCAAACACAAACACCACAAAAGTGTAAAAATATGCCTGGTCGCAAATGTACAACATCGCAAAAACAGTCCAGTCCTTAAGGGGTTAATATGCATCATGGATATTGCTCATGTATAAGAAAAAAAATCAGTATAGGGAATTATATCCAGCAAGTAACACAATATAATTTAAAAAAATAAATTAAAAAAGACAAGATTAACACAGTACAACAAGAGTAAAACGAAATAACAACAACGGGTAACAATTGACACTGGATGTCTTCACGCTTTCTGAAACTTAACCTCTCTAAAACTGAACTCCTTGTCTTTCCTCCTCCTAATACTGATCCTCCTCTCTCGCTCTCCCTTCAAGTCAGTGATATTCACATAAGTCCATCCCTGCAAGCGCGCTGTCTTGGCGTCATACTTGACTCTGGTCTCACCTTCGAGTCTCACATCCAGTTTGTTGCCAAGTCCTGTAGGTTCCAACTCAAAAACATAGCCCGCATTCGCCCCTTTCTTACGCAAGATGCTACCAAGGAGCTTGTCCACGCTCTAGTAATTTCCCGCATGGATTACTGTAACCCTCTCCTGATTGGTCTCCCCAAAAGTCGTATTGCCCCGCTACAGTCTGTAATGAATGCTGCAGCTAGACTGATTTTCCTCTCTAGTCGGTCCTCTCACACCTCACCCCTCTGCCGGTCCTTACATTGGCTCCCTGTATGCTATAGGAGTCAATTCAAAGTGCTAACCCATACATTTAAAGCACTGAACAGTTCTAGCCCCGCTTATATCTCTTCACTGATCCATAAATATGCCCCTCCACGTACCCTCCGCTCTGCCCGTGACCACCTCCTGACCGCTGCTCGCACCCGTACGGCCAACTCGCGCTTGCAGGACCTCTCGCGGGCGGCTCCTCTCCTATGGAATAGCTTGCCTACTGCCATCAGACTCTCCCCTAGTCTTTAATCATTTAAGAAGGGCCTTAAAACCCATCTCTTCAGGAAAGCTTATGGCCTCCCAGAGTAATCTCTACCTTACATACCTGTCTCCTGCTCTCTCCTATGGGACAGTGCTTTGCTCTCTCCTCCAGCTCTGCTTCACTCCTACTTGATATTTATTGTCCTAATGTTTCAAATACCCCACCTCCAATAGTCTGTAAGCTCGTTTGAGCAGGGTCCTCTTCAACCTATTGTTCCTGTAAGTTTTCTTGTAATTGTCCTATTTATTGTTACACCCCCCCTCTCAAAATATTGTAAAGCGCTACGGAATCCGTTGGCGCTATATAAATGGCAATAATAATAATAATAATTGAACACTGATATTATGTAGTGAATATAAACCCCATAGTGTATAGGATCTGGCCGCTGTTCTGCATTTAGTGAATATTCTCCTATATAAGAATGTTTGGTATTTAGTGAATATTCTCCTATATAAGAATATGTTTGGTATTTCATGAAAATTCCCAATATATAAAAATGTTTGGTATTTAGTGAATATTCCCCTATATAAGAATGTTTGGTATTTAGTGTATTTTCCCTATATATAAGAATGTTTGGTATTTGATGAATATTTCCCTGTATAAGAATGTTTGGTATTGAATGAATATTCCTCTATATAAGAATGTTAGGTATTTAGTGAATATAACCCTATATTTAAGAATGTTTGGTATTTAGTGAATATTCCCCTATATAGAAGAATGTTTGGTGTTTAGTGAATATTCCCCTATATATAAGAATGTTTGGTATTTAGTGAATATTCTCATATATATAAGAATGTTTGGTATTTAGTGAATATTCCCCTATATATAATGTTTGGTATTTAGTGAATATTCCCCTATATATAATGTTTGGCATTTAGTGAATATTCTCCTATATATAATAAAGTTTGGTATTTAGTGAATATTCCGCTATATATAATGAAGTTTGGTATTTAGTGAATATTCCCCTATATATAATAAAGTTTGGTATTTAGTGAATATTCCCCTATATATAAGAATGTTTGGTATTTAGTGAATATTCCCCTATATATAATGTTTGGTATTTAGTGAATATTCCCCTATATATAATGTTTGGCATTTAGTGAATATTCTCCTATATATAATAAAGTTTGGTATTTAGTGAATATTCCGCTATATATAATAAAGTTTGGTATTTAGTGAATATTCCCCTATATATAATAAAGTTTGGTATTTAGTGAATATTCCCCTATATATAATGTTTGGTATTTAGTGAATATTCCCCTATATATAATGTTTGGCATTTAGTGAATATTCTCCTATATATAATAAAGTTTGGTATTTAGTGAATATTCCCCTATATAAGAATGTTTGGTATTTAGTGAATATTCCCCTATATATAAGAATGTTTGGGATTTAGTGAATATTCTCCTATATAAGAATGTTTGGTATTTAGTGAATATTCTCCTATATATAAGAATGTTTGGTGTTTAGTGAATATTCCCCTATATATATAGGAATGTTTGGTATTTAGTGAATATTCCCCTATATATATAGGAATGTTTGGTATTTAGTGAATATTCCCCTATATATATAGGAATGTTTGGTATTTAGTGAATATTCCCCTATATATATAAGAATGTTTGGTATTTAGTGAATATTCCCCTATATATATAGGAATGTTTGGTATTTAGTGAATATTCCCCTATATATATAGGAATGTTTGGTATTTAGTGAATATTCTCCTATATAAGAATGTTTAGTGAATATTCCCCTATATATAAGAATGTTTGGTGTTTAGTGAATATTCCCCTATATATAAGAATGTTTAGTATTTAGTGAATATTCCCCTATATATAGAAGAATGTTTGGTATTTAGTGAATATTCCCCTATATATATAATAATGTTTGGTATTTAGTGAATATTCTCCTATATATATAATAATGTTTGGTATTTAGTGAATATTCCCCTATATATATAAGAATGTTTGGTATTTAGTGAATATTCCCCTATATATATAAGAATGTTTGGTATTTAGTGAATATTCTCCTATATAACGATTAGAGGAGTAATATGATTGAACACACAGCATATTTACATAAACCTGACAATGTTGATTAACCGACCCGTGTGCCCTAATCAAAGATGGCGGCAGCAGGCGTCCAACGATGGTCGCTCTGGTTTTCACTCTAATACTCTATGATACGAGTGAATCATGGGATCACATGATCTGACAGCTGCTTGTACAGGAAGTGAGAACCTTGTTGGAGTGTCATGGATGAAGATGGGCTGCCCATCGTTGGCTCCGGGATAGATCTCACAAAGGTGGGGCTTCTATACTGAGTAATACAAGTACTGTACACGTTTACAGTGCAGAGCTATGGCATGTTCTTATTTATATGGATATCTATATATAAACATATACATTCCCCATCCATGTCAGCCAATGTAAATGCCAAAAATATAATGGTAACACTGAGTTGGAGTGGAGAAGCTCAGATATCACTATCTAAACTGCAACATGTTGTGTACACAAGTAACAGGAAAATAATACTGACATATGTTAAGGTTTTGTTCCTATATCAATATTGAAATATTCCCTCACTGGTCGGGTAATTATGAGTGGTAATAGATCCCATTTTACCATTTATAAATGTAGCTGGGATTATTTGTTAAATATGCTACCCCAGTTGGAATACTGTGGTATCCCTACATAAGGCTGCTCCTTTCTACCTCACCTCCCTAATAAACATGTATGTTCTGTCTAAGCCGCTACATCTGCCAAAGACTTATTATTATTATTATTATTATTATTATTGTCACTTCTAAAAGCATATCAATTAAAATGTTTATCATTTTCCTTCCTCACATCTTGTTCTTTTCCTGCAACTGTGATCAAAAAAACAGCTAAGCTCTCTGTGAATTCTTTTCTAGGAACCTACTTGCCTAGTACTATCCTTACCTTTTGTCATGTTACCCCATCCCTCTAGCATGTAAGCACATTGAGCAGGGCCCTTAACCCCCTCTGTTCCTGTGCGTCCAACTCGTTTGGTTACAAATACGTGTCTGTTAGTCCACCCATTGTACAGTGCTGCGGTATTTGTTGTCTCTTTTTAAAGAATAATAATGCGTCTTGTTTTCTCTAGGTGCCAGCGATCCAGCAAAAAAGAACGGTGGCTTTCTTGAACCAGTTTGTTGTGCACACGGCTCAGTTCCTTAACCGTTTTGCAACCATTTGTGAGGAGGTAATTTGTAAACCCCAATAGCAGTTTACAATGCTTGTGTTAATATTTTGGATATGATATAATAGTTTCTCATAGGGTAAGATCAGGTCATCAGATATAAAGTTACTAAAAGAGAAAACCTTCATGCAATAATTGGTAGAGAATAGAAAAGGATAGTTTTGGTGGTTCACTATAAGACCATCGATAATGTTTTAATAAATTAATTCTGGTTCAAGCTTACAAACACAATTTCACAGTGAGTGAGAGAGTGTGTGTTTGTTTTATTACTTTTAGTGGACCACTAAATGCCCTTAGACCAGTTCATCTCAATGCCCCTGTAGTTTTAATTCTGCAATGTAAAACATTGCATTGCATTCCATTGCAGAGTTAAACATACTTCTAGTGGCGCTTCTAATGCAAACAACCGAGTGTAACTCGGTCATGTGACTAAATGCAGCTCATAGGAAAGCGATGCATTTAATACTTTCCTATGCAGAGCATTGGATTGGACGATTGCCAAGGATGCGATGCATCCACAATGACGTCGTGTGAGATGAAGTGGGCAGCTGGACATAGGGAGTCTCAATGTTGGGTGGAAACAAAAAAGTAAGTATAACTTTTTTTATTTTTAATTTGTGTTGGGGAGGGGGTCTAAAATCTAATTAGGGACAAGGGAGCTATAGTTTTAGAAATACGAGTTTGTATTCATAACACTATGGTGTTCCTTTATCCTTCATTCTTTTCTTTATTCATATATAAAGCTTAATTCTGTGTTTAGACAGACTCCACTTACTGCTGCACCTCAGTCTGACAGCCACTAGAAGTGCATCCTCTGGCAAATATAAACCTTCCAGTTTCTCTGAAACAAGAGTGTTGCTTTACTAGAGAAATGGGACAGCATCTCTGTACCAAAACTACTTCATTAAGATGAAGTGGTTTTGGTGCATAGAGCGTCCGTTTAAAATAATATTTATTGATTTAGCCACAGCTTAGGGGTTACACGTGTTTGTGGAATAAAGAACCCAGACAGAGCAGTAGCTTGATGGCCAATACATTGATACATTAACACAGTACTAAGCCAAATACATATACAGGGTTATTTACTAAGGTGAGAAGTGCAAGTAGATTCAAAATTAATTTTAAATTTAAGGCCCGATTGGGATGCATAGCTGACTTGGAGAATATTTACAGTTTGGCTAGATTTTTTTTATATATATATATATATATATATGTATATGTATATGTGTATGTGTATATTTTTTCGTATTGGCAAGACAACATGCGATAATAGTACACTATGGTGCACGCAATGAGAATAGGAAGTACATAAATATATCATCAGGTGTCGCAGCACCCATACAATGTGCAGTACATAACTGTGTACATTTTGTTGGTAATAGGCATTTACATTGTGTATAATGCATATTTGGATAGTGTAACTAATGCATCACCTGCGGTTGTCCACCGCTAAATTTTAATGTTTAACACGAAACATGAAAAGAGAACTAACACAAGGGCAAGGCATGCATAAAAGTGGTACATCATGATAGGTTAGCGGTGCATTCTCAAGCTGGCGTGTTGGTCCCACCATCCTATGCCTTAGAGCTCCCGCGTCTTTCATGGAGCCACATGGGCAGTTATACCTAGTGTTGTCCGTGGGAGAAGAAAGGATTACAGTACTACCAGGTTGGCTGTTTTAACCTTAAATTTAAAATTCACTTTGATTTCACCTTGAATTCTAACTTTGTTTCTTGAGTTGACAAATATTTCATTGCCTGGAACCATACAAATCTGATTACTTAATCTGAGTACTTAATGCACACTAATTCAAAAGTATATGTAAGTTTATGACTGTACAGTTTGTACATTTGATTAACGAATGTTTGAATTCTTATTTAATTTAGAAACTGGCAGCCCTATCTCTCCGTGTTCAACAAATTGAAACCACTTTAAACATCTTGGATGCCAAGGTCTGTTGGAAAAAAATAATAATAATAATTAAAATGAGGTATTTCTTTCTAGGGCTGTGAGCCTATTTCTATAAATTTCACTTCATTTAGGTAGTGATCAAAGGGAGAATCATGTATTCATTTATGACATAAAAGGTGCACAAACATGGCAGTTCTTCCATTCTATATCTCTCTAGCTTGTTAATTACAACAATGGTATCCATTTCAGTGAATGTAAATTATGCCAATTACATATGTATATGTATGTCCTGTGTGTGAGGCTTTCCTGACAGATATTGAAGATGGTGATGTCAGAGAAAGTAGAAGAGTTAACTTCTTCAAAGGCATATTAAAGTCACCCAGGCCACTTCATCTCAATGTGGTTAAATCATCTTCTGGCGACTATCATAGTGACAGCCACTAGATGCACTGCTTGTTGCAGTAGCATAGTTAAACTCTGTCATGTGACTGAAGACCCCATTAGAAAGCATTGATTCATTGCTGAGGAGCATTGGATTTGATGGACTCCAGAGGAGGCCATGACTCTGCAGGAGGAGGAGAGTGAAAAATTTATTTTCAAGCTGAACTGGGGAGAACCTTGTTAATAAAGGACAAGGGACACTAAAGTGTTAGGAGTTCAAACTTGTATTCCTAATGCTTTAGTTTTCCTTTAAAGGGACATCTCATTGTAGTTGTTTTCAATGTATAACATTGCAGTTTGCAGTGCTAAGACTACCTCTAGTGGCTGTAAACCACACAGCTACTAGAGGCGCTTCCTGGCATTTCACAGAGTTTGACACAGAGTATTGAGGCTATACTTTCCTACGGGGAAGTCCTAATGCGCACATGGAACATGTGCATTAGATCTCCCCCATTGGCTGTCCAAGGAGGTGAAGCCCGACCCAGCGCAGAGGAACATGAAGGGTAATTTAACCCTTCACATCATAGGTGGGTGAGGGCTGCAGGGGTAGAGGAAACATCTTTGTGTACCTTTTAAAGGGGCACTACAGGCACCAATACAACTTTACCAATTAAGCAGTTTTTGAGGAATATTCACTGTTCAATTCTTTGCCATTTATGAGTTAAATCACTTTGTTTATTCAGCCCCAATCACACCTTCCTGCAAGTGACTTACGCAGCCTTCCTAAACACTTCCTGTAAAGTGATTTATACCCTTCCTTCTGACAATTCCTATTCATACTAGCTCTGGCAGCCGTGATAGGCAGAAAGTGGTCAACTGACACTCTCAGCCAGTCACCGCTGTGCAGGCTAATGCTTTCTTATTAACCCAAGCAGCACAAAAGGGGTGGGCTCCTGGGGACTCTAGTTTAGCATTAAAGGGCCAACCTACACCCATCAAGCACTATGAGAAATTAGTACTCTTTATTACTGAAACACTCCCTGGCTCTCAGTCAAACAGCCAGGGAGGTTTGGTTCCTGTGGAAATGACAGACGTGCTTTACTTGAGCGTGTCTGCCTCCCCCTGCATACCTCCTTCTCAGTTTAGACCAGCGTTTTGTTTTTTAACTCTGTGCAGTTCATTATTTGTTGGGGGGGGTTTGGGTTTGTTTTTTTTGCTGTATGTACAATCTAGAGTGTGGGAAAATAGAAAGGAAACTGAAAGTTAACAGGCAATATACTTACAACTGTCAGCAGTTATTTTAGAGAACATGATTGTGATACCAATGATTTTGCATCCCAGGTCATAGAGCAGGTTCTGCACTCGTTAACAAGGAATATTCTATTCTACATGTTATCCAGGATTGAATCTTCACTTTGAGGACCATGTCCACTCTTGTGGAGTGTGAAGCTTGTATTAGAGGGATTCTTTAGGAACCCAAAACACTTCCTCCAAATGAAGTGTATGTGTGCAGTGCCCTTGGTGGTTTTTCTCCTGCAATGTAAAACATTGCCGTTTGCCGGCTAGACACACCTCTAGTAGCTGTTACGCTGACAGCCACTAGATGGTGCTTCCACAATGAGTACAGAGTCCAACATGCTTCTCAACATTTAACTTCCTTATGCATTGCATGTGAATGTCGAAAGCTCCGTCAGTGCTTCTCATAGGGAAGCGTTGGATTCAATGTTTTTAAATGAGGAGTGGAATAGGAGTCAGCAGGCGTGAGCATGAAACATGTTTCGTGTTTGACCTTTAAGAGCATGTTTTAATGGAAGGAAAGGAATAGGAACGAGAGAAGAGAAACTGGAGATTTTTTTTATTTTTTTTTATTTTTTTTTGTATCTCTTAATTTTTGCAGTAACTGATATGTAATACTTCTGCTTATGCTGAAGTGCATCATATTTCTTGGTAAAGATTCCTTTAAGTTGCCTGTCTTCTAATATGATGTATCCAGTGTTTGAAGCAAGTTACTTAGAATTTGCAGTGGATTGATATACTTGTCTTAGTGAATCTCAGTTTTTAGGTTGCTTTTGTATCCTTGAGTTGGATGCTAGATGTACCCCATTTTCACGGCATGTCTGTTCAATCAATTAAATACAACATTTAGTCCGGTTTTTATTTAATGACTATTGCACAGTGTACATATCTGATCATTATTATACATACTGAGTATTGCTTTAACTGCATTGGCAAGGTGTATTTTTATTTATTTTTTATGTCAAAAGGTGTTAACGAAAAGGCAGTGTTTACATTAAGAAGCCTGCAGGGAAAGACTATATACACCAGAACAACCACATAGTTGTTCTGGTGACTACAGTGTCCCTTTAACTTTAGCCTCTGTGTTTGAAATACTTCCTGTAAGAGATTTTGTTAAGATATGTTTTATTTACTTTACTGTTTATCAGCGCGGACTGGGAGTCCTTCAATTCAGTCCTGTTAAGGTACGGGATAGTACAAAAGGTGTAGAATGTAAGAATTGTGCTTTGTACTTCTGTGAGCCTTTGTGTGCAGTGCGTTGTTACTGTTTGTTTAAGATTTTAAACTTCTACATTTGAAGTCAAAAAATGTTTTGACTGTTCACTCAGCTGCTGAAACTTCATTAGGGTCAGTGTTTGAAATGTTGTATATACTGCTATTTTTGGACGGACTGTCCTCACTCAAGTGGGCGACCGATTGGAACACCTAGATTATCAGTGAACACATAAATGGTAAGGCAGCTTAAATAGAGATGTTTCCTGTGTAGGCCTTTGGTACACATTTCTAAGAGTTGTAGTTCAGTGGTCCGCTTTTAATGTAAGTTAGGCATGACATTGTGTATGTTTGGAGCAAAAAAGGAAACTGAGGACATTAGAAGGGAAAGAGAAGAAGGGTGGGTTTATGGGATAAAACAAATTATTAGTAAATTAAAAAACTAAATGCTTTTAACTAAAAAAAAAACAAAACGTACAAACCATGATGTTGCCTACAAATTGCTATTAACATGTTCTTCTGCATCAAGTGTCCTGTTCAGTAAAGTGTTCAGAGTATATTGCCATTTATCCAATGCGTCATTAATTTGTCTTCTGTGTATTTACAATTTTTTTATTTTTTTAGCTCTCTTCCATACCCGGCCTTGAGGATGTTAAAGTGGAAAAACAACATGTACCTCCAGATACCATTCCCAATGGCCATATACCAACACAAGCAGATTCACAATCCTCACTCTCTGTCTCTCCTCAGTCCGATGTAAGTTTTGTTACTATAATAAGTTTTCTGTAACTCGTATGTTTAATAATGCAGGAGCTATTAGGAAAAAAACCTAGCATGTAAATTCATAGGTTCATCTAAAAGCTGAATCTTAATCATTTGAAAATGAAATGCCTTAGCCCTGTATTGTCATTGATTTTTAAATTTAATTTTTAAAGAAGGGTAAAATACTTAATTGAGCTACCTTATAGTCATTCAAAATAGGTTAAGCCAAACTGACTATCAGATCAACAAATTCCAATGTTTTATGGACAACAGAGTCTTTTTAATCAAGCGTAGTTGAACAGTGCCATTGTCCATCTTCTGACCATGAAACCCGGCATCCATTACAAAAAAAAAATCTAATAATAATACCTAATGGAACAGTAGTTATAAAGTCCATCTCTCCATGGCCAACAGTAGGCCAACTTTAAACTATCATTTATGATAATCTCAACATATGACCACTGTGAAGCCTCAAGAGCAGATGTTGGGGAGCCTCAATTTCATAGCGTCAGTAATGTTGAGATAAAAAGCAAGGCAAGTCTTAGTGTACGTGATGGAAGGGAATAAAGATTTTGTTCCTAGAGGCAGATCTTAAAATAAATAAAGAAAAACAAAATAATTAGCATTTTGCCAGAGACCTTTTCAAAGGAAATAGATATTCCTCCACTTAATGTCACTTATGTTACTGAGAATTGAATCTACTGCTTTGTGTGGTTCCTACAATGGGTGTGTTAACCAACTGAGATCTCACTTGATTCCCTAGCTGTTTCATGAAGCTCAACTAAACTAAGGGTTAGTAATTGCTTGTGTTCTGTGGCTCAGGGCCAACACATTACTCCATCCACTCCTCTGCTTTGCACTTGTCCTTAATTAGCTTTCCACTCACCCTCAGATCTTGTTCCTGTGAATGCTCTCAGCAGCCTTTAATGTGTGTTTCCAGGTCACACAGAATTCCATGAAGGAGATCCCATTGCAGAAGGAAGAAGTGCAAACAGAAAATGTCGTCACTGTGGCAAAAGATCCTAGATATGCCAGATATCTCAAGATGGTTCAAGTGGTAAGGATATCAACTGATAAAAAATGTGAACAACTTAGAGTAGCAACTGGACTTTCAGTGAGTGTATAGCTCCTAAATAACTGTTCTGACTTGTAGGCTTTATGAAACTCTGGTATTTTGGTTGGAGTAAGCCATTCTGAGGTGGTCTGCTCCCCCACACTTCCCATAACACAAAAATATAAATATCTTTCAAAATGAAATTCTGCACATACAGACACCAGGCAACATAGCCACGTCAAATCAATGAAGTGCTCATGGTGCTTGAAGTAACCCTTGATTTATTTTTATATGAATATTTTATGTGATCAGTGTACGAATGGAAAAGTGTTTTTGATTTAAAATAATAATTTGCTTCTCTGAATGCAAACTATTAAGGAGTGTGGCCTATTGGTAAATAAGCCTAGTACAATGAAAGAACCCATTACTGTAGTGATGGTAAACTTTAACTTTAACCTGGGGTGTTCCTGATCTTCATTTCTTTTGATACCAGCCAACCAACCATATGTCTGACTGAGCGTGATGGCAAATGTAATTCAGATACAGCTCAGATGCGAAAGCTCAGATACAGGTTGGCCATCTCTGTGCTGTTCTGTCCAACATTTAATATTGCATCTTTTTTTCAGATTCTGACACTCATCTGTGTAATTATTTTGTGTAATTGTAACATGCAGGGTTTGGGTTCTGAGTGTTCTAACAATTACTGGAATCAGTTTAAGGACTATCTTTCCCCCTCCCCCCTTTATATAAAACATCAAACATCATAGCTTTTCACTTGTTTCCAAGTTGTGGTCTAGATTGTAAAATTACTCTCTTAATGACAAAAAAAATTGTTTTTTTTTTTCCTTCAATTATGTCCATTTTACTTCAAAACAGGAAATAATATGTGTGGAGCAAAACAGTTCAAAACAGTGTCAGGTAATCAGAGCACTATACAGAAAATAAAATAAACATAGTACATGCCTGCAGAAATCTATGTGCTCTTGCACAGAGACATACCTGTAGGAGGAACAGAGGTGTTGAAATCAGATGTGAGAAAAGACTCTCTCACGCTCCATTATGAATAGACAAAATGCATAGACTAGTGTTGTTTTGTGCTCTAGTAAGTAATGGGCAGCTTACTTGTTACAGTACCTCAGTATAGAACTAAACATTAAGAACAGTCCATAAAGAAAAGAACACAGGCACAGAATTCATAAAGCGACTGGAAAAGATTTTAAAAAGAGGGTAAGTTAGTACACGCTGTCCAGCCATCCTCCGAGCCAATATCAGCTTGCCTGGCGATAACATCAAAGAAGAGGGTCCTTAAAACTGTGCTGGTATCAGTCCTATCCCATAGAGTAGTGTCATCTTATCTATGCTGTTGATTTATTCAAATATTTGTGTCCAGAGCTGCGCTTTGTACATGTTTGTAAAATCAGCTTGGCCAGGGCCTCATCGACCTGCCTCTAAAATCCGTCAATTGGAGAACATGACCCAACCAGATGTGAAGCAGCGATCCTCCTGGTGCACCACATCTCCAACAGATGTCCAGGTTGTAATGGAGATGTTGAGGAGATATAATATTAATGCACACCCTCTGCAATCTATTCCCCACTGTTCAACTGTAATCTGTGGTTTAAGTAATTGAAGAGTTGTTGGATAATGCCAAACTAAACCAATAACCCACTCATGACCAAGCCAAGTATAACTTTTCTATGTGTCATAAATCGCTTAAATAGGAAAGAAATATTGCTTAGGGACACAGTCAGAATTTGCTTTATATAACAGCAGTGTTTCTGCTGATGCCTGAAATGACCATTGGTTTTAAATAATACACCAATGTGGCTCTGCAAACACGGAAACATTTTAACTATTTTTATCTTCAATCTTTGAAGGCTATTTATAAACCCTTATGTGATGCACAAAGTGTGAGGATTTAGTCTCACCCTATGGCCATATTGTGTTTACACTCACTACTTTTAACAGACTGGTGAGTCCTAATCGAAATTTTTTAATATTGACACAAGAGAAGCGTGCTACTAGCTGCCTCGCTGTCTATCTGCTCTACAGAACTCTCCCACAATATAAGCACTTTTCATTAAATATATTGTGGTCAGGTCTAATATTAAATAGAGAAAAAAAAAAAGTTCTAAAAAGTGATCTTCCTTGTAACGTAATACCTGTAAATCTGAGATGGATTGTTGTCCACCTGAGCCATTTTAGAGAATGTAAACCCCTAATTAAATGCTTTGTTTCCAGGGTGTTCCAGTCATGGCGATAAGAAATAAGATGATCTCAGAAGGACTCAATCCTGATTATCTAGAGTAAGTATTTTGTTTGTCTTTTTTGTCAAAGTGTCAAAGGTAGAAGCTACGTCAGTACTTGTTCAGAATCTCAAACATGACTGACATGAGTTTTCTTATAACCCAGTATAGGAGGCACATGGAGGATGATAGATGCTTTGTACCAATTCTGTGAAATAGAAGAGAAATTAAAACAATGTTATCCCTACACTATGCTTGTGTGATGTTTGCACATTGAGGCTGAATTTTTGTAGTACATGCAGCTGCCCTAAATGCTTGAGCACAGGCATAGTAATATTATACAGCCCTATTAACTGGATCTTCTAAGCACCAAAACCACTGCTTCTAAATGTAGTGTTTTTGGGAACTAGATGTTGTCCCTTTGTATGCCAATATAAAACATGGACGTTTCAGGGAATCGGAGATGTTTACTTCAACCACTAGTGTCATTAATGGTGATTACATTTGGTTCATGACGCACTGCATGATGACAAAGAATGCGGCTAATGCTTATCATGTGATTTAGAATCCCATTTTCTGGACATTATTTTACACGTGTCTTAAAATATTATTTTACAATGTGTGTCAAGTTTGGTGAATACGCCTAGCTTTTGTAGTTGTCAGACTTCCAAGCTTTGGCTAATATAGAAGTCTGTATATTTTTTTTTTTTCTCTATTTATTTCTTGTGTGAGGTAAGTTCTGCACAAAGCCATTTAAATTACTGTATATCTTATTTTCACAGGACCCCAGACGCTCCAATACCTGATGGAGAGCCAGCAGCTGATGAAAGCTCTGACAGTGAATCCTCATTTAGTGATTGAATTCTGTAGGTTTTTTTCTACCATAGTCTTTTGTATAAGCTAGACTGGTCCATTATACAGGCACCACATCATGAAGAACAAATTAATGTTAAATGTCATATATTACTACTGGTCGCAAATATCTGCATGAATTGCATAAAACACAACTCCCAACAGCCTCAGAACCAGAGAAGCAGTCCTGCCATATTTCATTCCAATTCTGTCCATGCAAGACACTTTGTGTCACTCTGACCGTGCGCAGGGCCAGATGCACCACTGATGTGCCCTTCTTCACGTGCACTCCAATTTTCTTCCCCATTACCCCTCTAACGCCATTCTAATACCTCCTAGGGAGTTACTGTACATTAACAGGTTTTTTTTTTTTGATGGTTTTTCTTTATATGTTAAGTTTCATAAAGCAGTGTTGCCTTACTATGTGGATATTTACTCACTAAATAAAGCACTGGAGGTTATGATGCTAGGAGTACCCTGGCCCAGTTCCCCAGTAAGTGGGCAAACCATTTTTCTCTCTAATGCAGACTTTTTCGTTACTACCTATTATTTTCTGATCTACTTGAAAGATTTCAAGATCTCTGTCCTATGTCAATGGGCTTGTAAGGTATGCACTGTAAGTACTGGCTCTCAGTATAACTGTCTGTCTACATGCTCCCTTTATGGAAGGCACTACAAAGTAGAGTGTTAAAGCTTTAACAGTGTTAACATTGAGCAGTGGCAAGGACCTAGGGGACTCCAGGCACTAAATGGGATGTTGCATTGAATGCCTCTTTAATACAATTCTCACTAATGCACCTCTGTTTCTGTTAGCAAACATGTATTTTTATTAAACTGATAAAACAAAACAAATACTGTTTGTATATTTGTTACTGGTAAATTGCTCGGAAAGATTTTACTCTTGTAGAATGTGGTCAATTTTGAGTTCCAAATGATTCTAGAATACTGCAGCTAGCATGCTATAGCCGCAAAACTGGAATTGCAAGGTTGCTTGCTACAGTCTGACATAAAGCGCCAACAAATTCCGCAGCGCTGTACAATGGGTGAACTAAGACACTAGTATTGGTAACCAGGTGAGTCTGACGCTCAGGAACAAAGGGGGTTGAGCGTCCTCAAATGAGCTTACATTCCAGAGGGAGTGGGGTAAAGTGACATAAAAGGTAAGGATAGGGTAGACAAATAGGTTGCTAGAATAGTTTTCAATGTGAGCTTGGTTGTTTTTTTTTGGGGGGGGGGGGGGGTTTGGTTGACAGTTGGAGAGAAAGCAAACAATCTTATTGTAGTATTGGTACATTGATGCTGTCCCTTTTGTCTGGCAATGTAAAACATTTCTGAAAAACAGAAATCTTTATTTTTGCCAAACACACACAGTTCTTGTAAAATGTCAAGCAGACAGCACACGGACATAAAGGGACCCCCTACACACCTTGGCATACAGAACTGCTTTCACTCAGGGTTAAATGACAACTGTAAACATTTAGAGGCAGGAAACACAAGTAGAATGGCTTGATTTATTATACTGTAAATGGCAGATGTCCTATTTTACCTTACATTTCACCCTGTTTAGAGTCAATTTATTAGTTCTTCACTAAATGTAATGGAACACTATAGTGTTAGGAATATAAAACTGTATCCCTGACATTATAGTGTCCCTCAGTCCCCTATCTTCATAGCAGATAAAGGGTTACTTGCCCTTTTTTTACTTATCTGATTCCAACGCCAATGTCTCTCAGAGCACCACATGCACATTAGGCCTTCCCCAATGCAGGGTTGAGGGGACAGGGAAACTGTACCCAGACCACTTCAATGAGATGATCTGGTCTGGGTGCCCGTAGTGTCTCTTTCAGATCAAAATATCTGAAATTTGAAAAATTCACTAATCCGCTATGCTTCCGGTTTGGCTATTTTGGTATAAAATTGGAAATTCATTTTGAATTCTAACTTTAGTGAATAACTGTGTGTGTGTGTGTGTGTGTGTATTTATGTATGTATGTTTCGGGTGAGTAAAATGTGCTTTGCTAGCAAGCAACCTTTACTTGGAGCTGTCCACATCTATCTGCTCATTGACTGGTACCTGACATCCTGGTACCTCATGTACTTGTACTCACAAATGAGCAATAAATGGAAGTAGCAATATTGCTGAGATGTCCATTGATTTAATACCAGCTGTCTGTGCTAACACCACCATATTTTCTTTGGCCTGCACCTTAGTACTTTGCAGCAAATCAAGGGTCAGTTTGCCTAAAAATCCATTGAGCACATGCCTACATATGCAAAATATATATTGATATACATTCAGACATACATGGACTTGTCCTTGCGCACGCACACATCCCCACCCCCATCTCCCCTTGATGCACATTCAGGTTTAGTTCCAGGTAGTTTTTCCTCAATATTATTGCTGTACTTTATTACAACCAACAATCAGTTGTACCACAGAGCATACAAGCACATTCACATACCTATGGAGGCATTGCACAAACATACACGCACACACACAAATTAATTTACACATCAAATGTGCATTTAGTATGCATCCTACACAAAGTCTATATAACATGAACTAAATATATACATTTCAATTTTTAATGTATATTTAATGTGGCTCGAAAAGCTGGCAAATAGTATACACGTCTGAGAGGTGTGACAAATTGTGTATGGTTAATGTGTTTGACCTGGGCTGGTGGCATCGTATGCTATGTTGTTTCTTTTAGCTACATTACCAAAGTAGTACTGATATCTCTTGCTTTGCTGCATTTTGATGTAACAACCCATTTTGTGCAAGGCTGTGTGGGGGGAAAAAAAAACTAGATCTCTTGGGAGAGTTAAATACTAATGCCCAAACCACAGTATGATTTAAAAGTAAAGCAAACAAAAAGTGTAGAAATAAAAACATTTTAAAAAATATCTCAGAACACTGCAATGTGGCATTGCCATGAAAGAAAGCTTTCCAGCATTCTTAGTCAACATCTGCTTCTGTACGAGGGACAAAAGGAACTGATCAGACATCCCATGAGTGAGTTGGACCTCTAGTTTTCAGTTGCACTTTGGTGATGCACAAGATGCCTAGGGCCACCGTGGGCGAGATTAACTACTAGATTGCCCCCTTCTTTAGTGACCGCATTATTGGGGAAGACCAGCGATATTACAACCAAATGGATCCAAACTGCAAGGTGATGGAATGCATAGACTTTCTCCACTTCAAGGTGAATTGAGTGAAATCATTGTAGAAGATAAGTTGGTGAGAGTTGAAGGTTAGTGGATTCTTCCCTTGCAATACACACATTATCCAGCTCTTATCCAAATGAGATTGGTACCCAACAATTACATCTCTAGGCAGTGGTGTACACATGACCCATGGGGCCCCGGTGCAAAAACTGATCCGTGGGCCCCCCCCCCCGCGCGCTTACTTGGCGCGGGTCGGGGCCGCAACACATGGCGGTGGGCACCTGGTCGCAGGGCTGCGACCCCGCGACCGCGGTATGCTGCACACACACCTAAAGGACCACTACAGACACCCAGATCACATCAGCTCAATGAAGTGGTCTGGGTGCCAGGTCCCTCTAGTTTTAACCCTGCAGCTGAAAACATAGCTGTTTCAGAGAAACGGCTATGTTTCACTGAGGGTTAATCCAGCCTCTGGTGGCTGTCTCACTGACAGCCGCTAGAGATTCTGCGATTCTCACTGTGAAAATCACAGTGAGAAGACACTGAACGTCCATAGGAAAGCATTGAGGAGAAGAGGCTGGCCCTGTGGGTACATACCGGGTCGCAGGGGCGGCCGGGCCCGGTCGCAGTCGCGACCCTGGTATGTACGCCACTGTCTCTAGGGACTGTAGTATGTGCTGACATAGATTTGTTGATAAGGTATGCACTATCTAGTGATGTTGATATTTTTATAATCTTCTGTTACCTCCACTAGCACAGTGAGATTGTGTTGTTGGGTTTGGATTTGTATTAGTGTTTCTTGTACAGATAACACACCCCGACGGAGATCTAATTTGTCTTTTTCGTTTACTTTAACTGGTTAGTGACCATCTGTACCTCCGCTTTTATCAACAAGCGTCTGATGTCATTGCAGATTCTGCACTTGCGATGTAGGTATGTGGTATAGAAGGGGATGGAACTGGTGGGTCAGTATAGGCCTCAGGCAGTGTGGGATAGGTGTCAGACCTGATTTTCTCCAAAGTAGTATGCCCTGTAAGGATTTGGTGTAGAGTACCGATATCCATTTCTCAACTTGCCCTCGCAGTTGGCTTTAGTGATCATCGGCACTTCCTGGAGTGTGATGGCTGGGAGACAGTCTGTAAGTGACTAGACAGTTATTAAGAGAGTCACGCTCAAGACGTGGCGCCATATGACTGACAGAGGGCATTGACCACAGATGTCCTGTGTTTGTATTTAGTCATTGATGGAAAGCTAAATGGCATCTATGCAAAGTAGGAATCTTCCCAAGTCGGACAACCAGTGATATAATAGGCAATTTATTAGAAAATTGGCTAGGATTATTTAAAAAAATCTTGGTGAAAACTCGAAAGCGATAAGCAATGGCATACGTTCAGTTCTCCGAATTAGACCTGTCCACTGAGTCAGTTGGGCCTCTAGGTTCCAGTTGCACATTGGTGATGCCCAGGGTGGGTAGCAAAGTATTGTATTGTTCTTGCACACAAAGAATATATCATTTAAATACTCACAGTATAGGTTTGAAAAAGTATGTGAACCCTAAGTTAATGACTTTAACAAAAGCTATTTAGAAGTGAAAATTGATAATGAAAGGAGATTGGAGGTATGGATTAGAGCCAGTGGTGGAACTACCGCAGTCGCAGGTGCAACCGGGCTCCCTGGTCATTCGGGGGGCCCGGCCGCCCTGTCAACCCATGTGATCAGGGTGCCCACCGGCATTGTGGTGCGGAACAGCACATGCTCTTGGGATCAACCGACGGCAATGGATTTTCCTAAGGCCCAATCAGAGCTGGGAAGAAGCCGTCACTTCCTCCCAGCTAACCGAGCGCCATGCAGGAGGAAAGGAGGGAGTCTGGTGCTGGTGCTTGGTCGCTGCCTATGGCGGGTTATTCTCCGTCTGTGTGGTGAACACTGCGGGGTGGATACTCCTGAGGCCCCTGGTCTGTGCGCATTGGGCTTGGATTTGTCAGCGAGCCGGGTGCGTTTTGCGCCGACTTGTGGGCCTTCCATTCCTTGGCCAGTGCCCTGCTGGACTCCTCTTTGAGGCAGTCACTGTGTGCTTGTCACCCGCTTTGCTAGCTTGGCCCACAGTTTGTCCAGGTATTGGAGCGTCCCCTCCATGGAGTACGTTGTGTTGAGTGAGCTGTATTTGTCCGCCATTTTGGGCGCCCATGGTTCTTGTGGTTGCTGGTGGCATGCAGCAGGCGCCGGCTGCCCGGTTGTGTCATGCTTGCCAGGGAGGACCGGGATAACCCCCGCCGGTCCGTGGGGGACAACAGTAGTCGATTGTTACCGCCAGTTGAGGCCGTAGGAGAGCCGTCTCTCCACGGTCCGGTTACTGGTAGGCCGCAAAGCCTCAAGGGGGATTTGCCAGTGTAGGAGAGTCCAGCAAGCGCTATCCCCGGAACCGCTGACATGTCAGGAACAAAGTTTGATGTAGCTTTGCAGCCCGGTAAGCAACTGGTTCGAGTATTCATCGAGTTTAGTGTGCCGGCCATAGGAGCTCATGCAGCACACGTCTGTGTAGCTCAGTAGCCAGGCTCCGCCCCCTTTCTTCCCCATTTTATTAGATAATGTTTACTCTACCTATAGTTAGGTGTTGCTTTGTATGACACTATAAATAAAGTATTTAAAAAAAAAAAAAAGGATTTAAAATATTATTATGCCTGCTAGCATAATAGCATGAGGTATTTATTTTTTACAAAACCATACATTTTGAGTTTTTATTTTGTTAGTGCTGTTATATTTACAGTCCCAGGATCCAACATTTTAGACGCCTAGATTTAAAACAGTGATGCTCTCCTTGTACTATATAAGCTTTAACTAGCAAAAATAGACAAAAATGCCATGCATATGAGGTATTCTGAAAATTAGGGCAAATAAATGAGCTTATTCTGAGGTATTTTTTTTTAGCTACATAGTTGTATACAAATGTTTATAGCCATAAGTTTTTTTTCCCCCCACTTAATTCCCTCTTTTTTAGACTTTACTTGTCCTAAATAGTAAATAAGTTTGTGTGTGTTTGTCTCTCTGTATGTATATTATGTGTGTCTATGTGTGTGTGTGTGTGTATGTATAGTATATTAGCAAATTAAAGTTCTATCGCCATCTTATACATGTATAAACATGCCAAAACTATTGAAATGGTTAACAGTGGTTAATTTGTTATCTTTAACATGACAAATAGGTAACTTGTTAATGCTTCTTTATATAGTAGTCAAAACTGTGAAGTTAACAAAACAGTTGAATGAAAAGTGTCATGTAGGGTACAAATGGCCGATCCAGCTGTAAGCTTTGTGGTAGCTGTAGAGTAAATCAATGAGTTTGTCTACACATCAGCGCTCGATAATTTGTGCTTTCCTCTTGGAAAGACTGACATCTCCAAAAATGAAAAATAATCTAATTTATTATAAACATTTTGAAAACCATAATAAGTGCCCTTTCAGTAACATGGTTATCATTGTAAATTCTATTCTTAAAACATTAACTGACATATGTTAAAAAGTAAAAAAAAATGTACAAAACAAATTACATGATGAAAATATTGTAAAAAGTCAGATTCCGTTACCAAACATTAAAAAACAAAACTGGCATTTGTTCCAAAGTGCAAATTGTGTACAAGTCCTTGTGTCCTTTTTAGTCTAGCAAGGACTACTAGAAAATAGTTTTGTCTCCTATTATTCTCAAGAGAAGCCTCTTAATAGTCGCCGTAGTCATCAAGTATTTCCGTTGAAATGGTTACATTGGCACCCTGCAATGATTAAAAGCAGAATTATAGAAAAAAAACATTTAGCTTTTGTTTCTTCAGTATTCCATTGTAACAATGTGAAATACGTACATCCTGAACTGTTGGTGTGCCTTGAGGGACTGGGTTGACCACCAATGTATTAGGCCAGGGGTAGACAACCTTCGGTACTCCAGGTGTCGTGGACTAAATCATGAACCAGATAATGTAGTCCAAATTATCTGGAGTACTGAAGGCCTTCCTATTTGTTAGGCAATGGGACAGATGATTTACCAGATTTGTACACAGAGCTTTGTTGAACTGCTGTGTCCATAATGAAGTTGCCCTTGCTTGGTCGGGGATAAGCTGAAAGTCAAGTTCTCTTTTGTGACTACAATTCTCTGGTTGTTGCTCATAAATCATCATCTCAGTGATTCACTCAATCCATCTGGACATTATGCAAATTGAACCCTACAGCTATCTAAGTATTACATATAGGTAGGTAATAAAATAATTGAAAGATGGCAGATTGTAATAGGTGTTCTGTGTACTAACCTGGAAATCTCTGATGAAGGTCAGAAAAAAGGTTACAAATCCAAATGCTACTATCCACTCACATATAGCGCTTGTTAGATGGTTTGAGTATCCCTGCATGGAAAAAAGAATGATAGTTACATAATAATAGAGGCTGAAAAAGTACTCAAGGCCATCAGATTGAACCTTTCACACATCTCTGTTTGTGCTTTTGATCCAAAATGTGGCAAAACAAAATAACCAAAAACTTGAAGTGATTTACAATTTTATTTTTTGACATAAAATAAGGAATAAACCATGTCACTCCAAAATGGCAGTCAGATTTCTCCTTGCATCAGCAACTAATCTTTGTATTATCTATCATATCCTTGAATATGCTATTTTTTTCCCCTTTTTTTATTTTTATTTAGTTGCAATGTAAAAATTATTATACGCGAAATATGTAAAAATAAACACAAACTCTATACACACCCCATCTGATACATTTTGTAAAACTGTAATACGTTAAAGGGAACACTTAAACCTAAAACAGAATTTCTGCAGCACTGTGCTCTTACCACCACCAAGAGCAGACCTCAAGCCAATGATGGGGCTATAGAAGAGAAGTATCTAAGGTTCTCTTCCACCTTGCCGATGTTCTCTTAGCTATTAACGTGACTCAGTCACGGCAAGCATGGTAAAGTACTGTTTTATAAAACACACAAAAAATATTTACATTGTGGGAGCCAAACAGCAATTTTATTATTATTTCACAGTTCACTTCTGGTACCAAAATATTCAATACCTGAAAAGCTACAAAATATCTGCCTGAAAGGGCCGTGCCTGGCTCTGCCCACAACCAGCCAACTCCTTTGACCTACATGCAATGCATTGTGGGATGCTGTGTGTAGAATTTGAGATGGAGAGACACATTTAGAAAAGGCTAGTAGCAGACAAAATTGAACAAACATATCTAGCCCACCACCCTACACTCTGTTTTAGAATCAGTTTTTCTGGTTCTCATCCTATTATATTCTTCTATAGCTGTCTGTTGGCATCTGTGATTTATAAGCACAAACACTTGGATTAGCTTTAAATCTTGTGAACGATTACTCGCAACACCCCCTCCACCTCCCCTAAAAATATAAAAACAAACAAAGTACAAGTAGATTTTATTATGCTTAGAACAAACCCTATAAAAAGTTCTTGTTGGCATTACACACTTGGTGCCCAGTTTTAATAATGGTTAGGCAAACAACCTTTTGTTCAGATGTGTTAATTGGGAGTTAATCATTTAAGTTAAAGTTGTTTTGCTGCTTAGAGTTTCCCTTTAATCGAAAGGTGTTCACATCCGGCAACATAATCTAACCCAGGCATAGGCAACCTTCGGCACTCCAGGTGTTTTGGACTACACCTTCCATGATGCTTTGCCAGCATTATGGGGGATGTAGTCCAGAACATCTGGAGTGCTAAAGGTTGCCTACCCCTAATCTAACCAATGACATATTATCATCACCACAACAAGCAACAAATAATACCTGATCAGATGGTTGCCAACGTGGCTTCAAGCTGCCAACTTTTAATGCACATATAATCACTGGAAATATATTAAGGAAATATATCGTCATCTTCACAGGATTGTCAGTACAATGTGTGATCCTTGTCTGCAGTTAGCACGGTCCTTTTGGGTACAAACATGCACAGTCTTTAAAAGTAACTTAATTCCAGGCACTTTATGGTTGAGCTTCACCACAGAGACAGCAGCAAATGAAAAAAAAAAAAATAATGTAACACAAATCCCTATAAACAAAAACCTAGCTCGTCTGAGCACTAACTAACATCAGATTCCCTTTATCTCAGGGGGTTAAACTATAACAAAACAATATTGGTTTCACCAACCTAGTGTCTTTGTCAGCTCTCTGCACTCCAGGGCTTAGTCAGCCTGCTGCTTTCCTTTCTGTACTCCCAGTGCTCCAAGCCAGCCTTTACTGCTTTCCTTTCTGCGCTCCCAGTGCTTCAAGCCAGCCTTGACTGCTTTCCTTTTGCACTCCCAGTGCGTCAAGCCAGCCTTGACTGCTTTCCTTTTGCACTCCCAGTGCTTCAAGCCAGCCTTAACTGCTTTCCTTCGGCACACCCAGTGCTCAGTCTCCTTGACTCTCTCACTGGAGAGAACAGCCTCTCTCCTACCGGCTTCCAGGGAGGAAGCCAGCAATCCCCCTTTACCTGCCTACCAGGGAGGGGTTTATTCCCACTGCTACAGCTGATTATCTGCAGCTGAGCAGTGGGTTGGAGACAGTTCCAAAAAATTCTGGCCTGGAACTTATTTCTCCCAGTTGTGTGTAAACTGAGGAGTGGAGCATTAGCCCACCCTGCTCTCCAAATGCTCCACCCCAGGGGCCCATAACTAAATGTAGCTTTGTGTTGCACACCACACATACAACACGTACTTCCCCTGGGGTTAAATGTTAAAGGCCTCTCTGCCTACACTTTATCACAAATGTTATAGAACCAAGAACATTTCTCATGTAGTAGATATAGTACCTTTTACAGAAAGTATTGGTTAATGTAATGTCTGTATCGAGAAATGGTTTGTTAATGCTACATTCCTATGTGATGACATAATAAAAGCATTTACTTTGAAATTTAAGAACCCAAAGTTTTCTGGTTGATGTTTTTGTTATTAAAACAAAAACATGAAACTTGTAGAAGTTTTAAATTACCTAACTACATAATAGAAAACATTTCTGCTCTAGCAGGGATAGTTACATCAATTCCATTTGAAATTGCATATTCCCACCAAAAATAATATTTTAAATATAGTAAAATTGAATAGGACACTGATTTAAGGCGAATATTAATAAAATATTCTTAAATATTTATATTTTCTCTTTACTTTATGTATTTAAACATACTGCGGGAAAAAAATAAAACAAGGGGATTTAATGTAGCCTACTAACATTTAAAAAAAATGTATATTACTAGTTTGTTTGTTTTTGTACAGTTATTCTAACTTTTGAGTATTTGAAAAAAATATTTTTAAGAAGCTACCATATTAACTGTATTTGAATTTAATTGAATTTCTGATGTAATCCAATAATATGACAAGACTACAAAAAGGACTTGGCACCCTGTAAAGATAGAATGAAGATTACAGAAGAAATATTCTGTAACTACTACCTAACCAGCTATCAATTGATAATTAGGCTTTATATACACAAGAAAATGGAGGAAGGCCTACTTGCTACATTATCACCTGATCGTCTACATGAAAGGATGTAAATACTACGGCTTCCAGGAGTTAAAATTGACACATTTAGCCTA